GACTTCGACCTCGAGCTATTCTCAACAGAGTGGCAAAGCATTTGGCACCAACGTCAAGACACTTGCAACATTTGTGGCAGATTTGGCCATTATGCTCGTGATTGCTGGAACAAAGACAAGGTTCGACGAGTTGATGATCAAGGAAATGAGTTCACAACAGCTACATCCCCAGATGCACACAGTGAGCCTGCCACAACACAACGTGTGAACCGCGTGGAGCACATCAACAACATCAATGACATTTCGATTGAGCGCACCAGTCACCAGTACAGCTGCACCTTCTTACTTCTTTGACCTGTCTTTTGACTCCTTCGAAGAAATGTCCAATGTTTGTGCAGTTTTTCAAGAGAGTGATGATTTGGCTTCATGTTCGATCACTTCAGATGCATCTTTGTCAGGGGATTTCGACCACTTCTTCCAGAAGACTATGCAGATGCCGTGCAGTGAGCCTGGAACTGAATGGTACACTCTTTCTTCACTTCAATGTTTGGATGATGAAGATCATTGCGAGAAGCTGTCATTTGACCTGTTTTCTTTGCATGAGTATGAGTGCGAGTCAGAGCGCTCTGGATTTCACTTTGCACGTAATGACCTGGAGTGGAAGCCCCAAGTACGAAGACATGTTCATTTCGAGGAGTGGTGCAGAGTTCTCACTGTTTCATCTGAAACTGTTTGTGCTCGAGTGGACACTTGCAATGAACTTCATGAGATTGTATTGGATTCAGGTTCAGATGCAACTTTGATCCCTTCAGGTTTGCAGCATTGTGGATGGCTTGCACCTGTTCAGGAGTCTCAACTACGTGACGCACAAGGTGGCCCTATCAGGACTCAAGGGGTTCGTGACATTGAGCTCATTTTTACTGGAGTTGATGGAGCAGAAGTTGTCATGCGAGAAAGATGTCATGTAAGTGACAAGATCGACATGCCTTTGATCTCATATGGCAAGTTGTTGAAGAATGGATGGAACATATCGAACGAATTGGATGGCAACTTTCTCTCACACAGCTGTGGAGCCCGGATCCCAGTGAGCTTCAAACACAATTCGCTGATAGTACATGGTCGAGTGAGAGCAATCCATCAGAGAGTCACTTGCATTCCAGTTGACATTCCTTCAACTTGGCGTTTCCTGCCTTTGGGATGGACCAGTACAGTGAAGGGTCAACCTCTTTGTATGTCGAGAGCCTAGATCCACGTTGACCCGGTGCCTGAGTATTCATTGACTGACTGGCCTTATCGTACCACACTTGTCTTTTGTGAACGAGACGGTCGGAACATGATTGAGTGCTGCGCCAAGTTAGACAAGATAGGCAATCGTTCAGCATTGATGGGAATAAAGTGGACATCAGCTTTGACTCTTCTCACCAAAGACATTTTGAGCGTTGAACAACTTGGACTAGGACTACGTGAACCAAGTCTTGTTGAAGAGCCGACGTCTTCTTCTTCCAAGTCTGAAACGCACCAAAATCGGAGCCCTGAGACAATGTCAAAACGCCCACTTGAGTGGAATGCAACATCAGAGCAGAAGGCCGCCAAGCATTCAACAGGCGGGGCGGCAGAGCATCCAGCAGGCGGGGCTTCAGAAGGAGACAAAACGATAGAAGAGAAAAGTGCAGAAGATCCTGTTTTGTTACAGCTTGACAAATCGGTGATCATCAATGGAGTGAATATCACAGAAACCTCAACAATCAAAGTGCTTCGAGCAGCATGCAAGTTTCTGCGCATTTCGGAGTCGGGATCAAAAGCCAAGTTGTGGCAAAGAATCATCAGCAAGTTGCAAACAGAGCAGATTTTGGCAAACCAAGAGATTGCAGCTCAGAGCTTAACAGATGCAATTCGAGTTCCAGTCTCAGCTCAATCAGTGGAAAGCCCTTCACCAGAGGTGATTGCTGCTCATAATTTGACACATACACCATATGCAAGTTGGTGTCCTGCTTGTTTGAGTGCCAACGGTAGACCTGATCAACACAAGGGGGACGCTTCACATGTAGCACAGCGGTCAATGCCTTGTATCTCCTTCGACTTGTTTTACACAGGTCGTTCTACAGGAGATGATGGAGAAGCCGACCAGGACAAGCAAGTAGCATTAGCTGTTTTCGATTCTTTTTCGGGAGCAGTTCACTGCATTCCAGTTGGTAGCAAGAGTGAGACCAAGTATATGGCGAAGGAGATTTCTCGATTCATTTCCTTTTTGGGTCATGAGGACATCACGCTCCGTTGTGACAATGAGCCAACCATGATTGCAGTACAGAGGATGGTCAAAGCTTCGTATCGACATCGGTGTGTTGTAGAGAACCCAGCCATTCGTGATCATGCAGACAACAGTTGGGTTGAAGGAGCAGTGCATCGCATTAGACAAACAGCCAACGTGCTTTTGCATCATCTTCATGCCAAACTTGGGTTGGTTATCAAACCTTCTCATCCATTGTTCAGTTGGAGCTTGTTGCACAGCAGTTGGTTGATGAATCGTTTTGTGGTGCGTGGCAACACTACAGCATATGAACTCATCACTGGACACAACTATCATGGCAAACTCTGTGAATTTGGCAGTCCGGTTTATGCTTACATTGGTGATGTGATTAAACAAAAAGGTGATCCCCGCTGGACGAAAGCTTTGTTTCTGACCAAATCAAATGTGAACGACATGAACATTGTCTCCATCGGTGGTAACCTCAGATTGACACGAGCAGTGAAGATGATCAAATGTGATTGGAAAGAACATATGGCTTTGTATTCCTTGCTGCAAACTCCAACCTGGCAGATGGAAGGAACATTTGGAGCTCGTATGGAACTTACCAAGCCAATCAGGAACAAGAGTGGACCTCCCACAGCATTGCTTGCAGATGAGGCCGCAACAGATCCAGACTCACACCTCCCAAAATAGGTGAACAACTTGGGGAATTGAAAGACAAGCAACAGAAGGATCCTGAGGAGCTTGATCCTTTGGCAAATCAACCAGTGAGTCCTGCACCTAGTAGACCATTGCTTCCTGCAGCTTTCACACCGAACTTGGAACCTGTGGACACAGAAATGTCAGGTGCATCAACTCATCCAACTCCTGATTTGTTGGAGGAACCGGATGCAAAGCGGTTGAGAAGTCGCCGAGCAGAGGAGGATCTTCCCCATGAAGATGAAGAGCTGTTTGAACCTTTTATGAACTCTTCTTTGTTGGATTCTGCTGACTTGGAGGTGATTGGTTCAAGCAACTTTGATCAGGAGAACTACGATGTGTATGCGCAACATTTCCAGGAGAGCAGCTCAGAAGAGAAATGGGAAGTGGATTCATCTGAATTGTGGTATCCCTTTACGGAGTCAGAACCTCAGCTCAGTGAACAGCAGATGTCATACCTGGATGAGATTGCAGACAAAGTTGAAGTTCAGAGATTGAAAAACATGAATGTATTGCAGGATTCAGATGGATTTTCAGGAGAGCTAGACACCAGTCTCAGTGCGAAATTTGTGCGAACTTGGAGGAAAAAGACGCTGGATGGAGTTCCTATGTATCTCAGGAGAGCACGACTTTGTGCACGTGAGTTCAACTTCATGGAGTATAGGACTGATGTCTATTCACCATCTTCAACAACCAACGTAGTGAAGCTACTACCATGTTTGGCCATGAGCAATTCATTTGTGCCAGGTGGATGTCTTGGTTCATTGGACATCACAGATGCATATTTGCAGGTTCCACAACTTAAACCCAGAATTGTTCGAGTGCAAGGAACAGAGCTGTCCTTTGTCATCCTCAAGTGCCTTCCCGGACAACGGGATGCTGCCAAGTTGTGGTACTTGTTTTTCACCGATGCTTTGAAACGTTTGCTTGGTGCAACAGTCTGTTTAGAGCAACCTGCGTTGGTGAAATGTGGCAACAACGCAGTTCTTCTTTTGCACGTTGACGATGTTCTCTTTTATGGCAATGAGCAGTGGATATCCTCAGTGATGATTCCTGCCTTGAAGAGCGAGTTCAAGATGAGCTGCCAATATGTGCCAAGGCGAGATGGTGGAAGTTTTGAGTTCTTGAAACGTCTTCATGTGTTTGAACCAGGATATGCAAGTTTGAAGATTTTTCCTGAGCGCAAACATGCACGCGCACTCTTTGAACGCTTGAGCGAAATCAACGGACGACCACCACGAATCTCCAAAACACCTTCATCAGCAGCATGCGCGCCACACCTTGACAACACCTTGCTTGATGCCGATCGGGCTGCTGACTTTAGATCGCTCGTAGGTCTAGCAATGTATTTGAGCCAAGAACGATACGATCTACAACACAGTGTCAAAAGCCTAGCAAGCTATCTGAAGGAGCCCACACAAGGAGCATGGAAAGCACTGGAACGTCTGGTGGGATATGTCAAAGGCACTGAAGACATGTGTCTTTGCATGTGGCCAACTGTTTGTGGACAACAGTTCATGGAGAAGTACCATGAGATCAACCCGGATGTCAAAGAAACGATAGAAGTGTTTTCAGATGCTGATTGGAGTTCAACGGGTGACATGAAATCAACTTTCGGCATTCATTGCATCAATGGTCAAGTGATGTTTTCTTCATCCAGATCACAAAAGTGCATTAGTTTGAGCAGTACTGAAAGTGAATGGTATGCTCTTTCGTCAGCAACCAGTGATGCACTCTGTTTGAAGCACATCCTAGAGTTTTTGTGTCCTGTAGATGCTTTGATTTGTCATGTGGACAATTCGGCCGTGAGAATGCTTTCTCAAAAGATGGGTGTGAGTCGTCTCAAGCACATCAAGGGACGACTGCTTTGGCTTCAGCAGAAAGTGTCTCAGCGTGAGATTGAGATCCGTTATGTGAACACACATGCCAACATAGCAGATTTGAATACTAAGACTCATGCACGAGATCGACATCTCTCACTTCTTTATATGCTTGGTTATGTTTGTGGAAAAGAGCGAGTTGGTGAATCAGCATTCCTTCGAAAGAATGCACAACTTGTGGTCAAACAGCAGTTGAAAGACATTTCGAGAGTGATTTGTGCATCCGACGAGTATCAGGACATGTACGGTCCAGGTGTTCGAACCACTAGCGCACCAGCAATGAGCATGGCCAAGAAGGTCATGAGGATCATGGTATTGAGCTCAGCCTTTCACTTCGCTTGTGGATTTGAATTTGAGCCCAGGTCAAATCATTTGATCGATGAGAGTTTTCCTGCCCTGGTTTGTGCAATTTCCTTGTTTGTGCTGCTTGGCGTGATGCGAGTGCAGAAGGATCGCCACAAGCGCCGAGAAAGCACATGATTGCACTTAGCCTTGTAGCAATGTGCCTTCAGGGATGTGAATCGTTCGAAGCCTTGAGCCCAGCACATGTGTTTTCATTCATCGTGAGCTTCATGTGCATCCTATTTGGAATATGGCTATGTGTGAATTGCAGAGCTGTGAGTTCCTGGATGTGCGGACTTTTCTTTGGAGCGAAAGATGTGATCACGAAAGATAACTATGTGCAGACAGAAGGGGAATTCTTTTCAGAGCCGGAATTGACCCGACACGTTGAATTGGCTTTGCAAATGCAAGACGCTCTCAGAGGACACAACAGTGAATCTGATGATGGAGTGGGAAGTACTATCTCACAATCCGAAGATCCTGATCGATTTGTGCGTGAAAACTATCCAGCTTTTCCCACTTTGGGTGATGCTACAGAGATCATGCCTGAAGCGCCAGGTGTGATGTGGGTGACATTGCAAGGAGCTTTTGATGGTGGACATCGAGATCGCTATCGATGCTTCTGCGAAGGGTTTTCTCATTTGGCTCAATCCGGTGAGAGCTACTTCGAGCTACGTGGACAAACTTTGCTTTCTTTCACCAATCCAGTCGTTGGATCACAAAGAGAGATTGCAAATATTCCTCGATCCTCAGTACGTGGTGTTGCTGATGATACAGATGCAATCGATCCTGTGTCAGAAGCCGATGAAGAGGATGCTGAGAATCAGGCAAGTTTGAGAAGACGCTTTCCTTCAACTTCAGCTGCTGCACCTAGTTCTTCGAATGGTGTACCAGATCATTGGTTGGAGGAACGACTTTTGTTGGCGAGTCGACGAGCTAGAGCCCTTCCAGGAGATGAGCCAGATTCAAGTGACGATGATGCTTTGATGTACACGCCGTGATCTTTGCTATAAGGCTGGTAGCCTTGAGAGAAAAGCAAGTGATCTTTGCTATGAGGCCTGTGGCCTTGCGAGAATGGAGAGTGACTTTGCTAAAAGGCTTAAGGCCTTGCGAAAAGAGTGAGTGAAAGAAGAAAGTGAGAGTGGCAAGAGTTTCACTTCAACATGTTTGGAACACGAGTTTCTAAATATGTGCACCCAGTTCATGGATGTCGCAGACATAGCTTGATTGGGTGATTGCAGTGAGTACATCCTCACATATATCTCCTTACCACAGGTGAGTTGTAGTGTTCCAAGAGCGGTAGCTTCCTTCATGCTACAGCAGTTGCTTCGACGGCCTTTTCCCATGGCTGTTTTCACGAAACAGTGTCGAGGCAGTAGAACTAGAAACCACGTCTGAGAAAGGCACACAAAGTTCCACAGGCAGAGAAGAGGAAACACCGACTAAGGATCCAGAGACAACGGGGGATGCGGAAGGCATCGTAATTTTAGTGAGTGAAGAGGACGAAGCCAGCCCCTTGCCTCTGCCAGCAAATCAAGACGCTGACGCATGTGTCCCTTCCCCCTCTTCCCTTCCCACAGCCAGCAATGACATGCGAACAAAGGAGCGAATAGAAACATCTCCCACTGAAGAGAAAGGAGGTGTGAAGAGACTGGCCACCACCTTGCAAACCACACAGACAAGCGAGATGGCACCACTGCAAGTAAAGCCGCCAGATGTAGTCATGAATAAAGAAGGCGACTGCCCAAGCAGCTGTCCTTCCAATGTGGCTGACTGGCCCAGCGCACCTGCAGACACAAGAGGTAGAAGAAGGAGATGCAAACAAGAACCACCCAAAAGCACCTCGGCTCCCCCGACCGGGGTCGAACCAGTTGAGCGCTCACCGGACAATGGGCAGCCGGAACAGGAAGAGCAACCTACCCCACCGGATGCATGGAGAGTTGCACGGAGGCTGCTCACAAGCCGAGTGCAATGAAATCCAAAGAGCCAACCCATACTCCTTGCTCCAGGACGCCTTACAAGCATCCCGGAACAGGATACACCCAGCACTGGCTGTCGAGTAGAGCCTTGGGCTCTGCCTCGAACTAAGGAAGCCACAGGGCGGGGCATCACCCCGCCTGGGATGCCATGAGGGCTCTGACTGGGCCCTCCTATGGATGACTATCTATCCCCCTTGGACCCAAACGTACGGAATAGGGAAGCATCCTGCCCCCTGTGGTTTCGTTTCTATGATTTGTTGGTTCGTTGGCTGTCCTTGCTATGCGTGTTTCGGTTCTTGCGACCTGTGCTCTAGTCTATTTAATCTCATCCCTGACCTGGCACATCCCTGCTGCGTTTGTTTCATGCATGTCAGATACGAACTGCTTGAGCTCGAGTGTCTCACAACCATTCTGTCCTTTTGGTGCGCCCTGCTGTTTGGGCTCGAAGGGAGTGAGATCCTAGCCAGCTCCTAGCCAGTAGTGGTGCCCATCCATCCGACCTGTTCCAATGGCCCTTCCGTTCATTGTCGGCCCGCACCAATGCTCTCTCACTCATGGGCCAGAAGGTCGCCCCCAAGTGGAGGTCACCTTTCGAATGCGGTTGCCCACTGCAGAGTTTATTGATGCGCTTACTGTCGCTTGCGGAGCAACGTCTTTTGTTCCAACAGACAAGTCTGCCCGCCACGAAGGCCACACCTGCCGCAGTCAGCGCATGGTCTCCGGTGGGCAGTGGTGGAAGCATGAACAAAGGCACAACAAGCACAGGCGGGTGACGCGGGCTCCCACCACAAGGACACAAAGCGCCAAGCTCCTAGCACACGCAAACCGGCATACAAAGCGGCTCCCAGATGTGGACCCAACACATGCGAAGCTGCTCGCCACGCTCTCGCGCGCAGTAGCTGTCCCAGAAGCGGCTGCTCCCAAGCCGAAGGTGGTCCGGACACCTCCGGACACTTCCAGCTACGAAGGAACACGACATAGTACCAGCACCGAGCCTCAGGATGCTCACTTTAGCAGGCAGGCTGACAGCAGCGCTGCGCCTACGCAACACCGACCTCCCGGCGGAAACATACAAAGCAATCCAGGAGAGGATCACGCAATGGGCTTTCGCCCTCCCCCTCGACCTTTTGCGCATCCGCAGAAATGTCCGGTTCAGTGAGCTCATCATTGAGAGCTTCCACCTCCGGTGAAAAGCAATCTTTGATCGTCACCAGAAGGCAAGGTTTGCTGATAGCGGATTGCAGGGATTCCAGTTTGGAAGCATAGGGCTCTATCATGGAAGCACTCGACATGGCAGGATCACACAACACGGAGGGATCACAAAGACACACGCACACCAAAGGGCTGGTGGGGTAGGGCGCCACCTTGTTGGACGTGGCGCCCCACCACCCTGGGAGCCCGTGTTCCCTCAGCTCAGGGCTTTTGGGGCGGAGAGCTCTGTAATATCTGTTCATATCAACAGTTCACTTGCATCTCCGCGCCTGTATCTCGACACCAGTATCTCCACACATGTGTCCGAACACCTGGATCTCAATGCCTGTCTCTGCACACCTGTGTTTCACCTGCATTTTTGCACCTTGATGATGATTGTGCTGCTGCTGCTGATGATGATGATGATGGTGATGATGACGATGATGTTGATGATGTTGATGTTGCGGGTGTGATGTTGGTGTGTTATAGCAGCTTATATCAACCACCTGCATTTTTACACATTGATGATGATGATGATGATGAGGATGAGGATGATGATGATGATGATGATGGTGATGATGATGATGATGATGATGATGATGATGATGTGTGTTGTAACAATTACATCCATCGCCTGCACCCTTACATCTTTATGATGATGATGGTGATGATGATTGCGATGTGATGACAATCATGGTTGTCATGATCATGATGATGGTTGGACAGATGCAGTTGGCAGCCGATCCTCAGGAAGAACCCTTCGTTTTTGCAGGCAAATGCGGCGGTGATGTAGTTCCCACATACTTGTGGTTATGTAATGTATTCGCATGTATTCGCTCAATTCATTCGGCATCATGGAAAACAACCGGGCTGTCGTGACTGTAGTTTTGCCAAAACAAGTTGCAGCAAATATTTTTGCACTTGGCACTTCAAAACTTGGTTTGACGCAACGAAGTTGAACGTTTCGCATTTAAAACGGAACCAAGGTTGTGTTTCTTGCAAGAAGTGTTTGCTCCTGCGTGTTCCCTTGACGGGGAGTTGGCCAAAGGAATGTCAACATTTTGCTGGTGGAAAAGCTAGTTTACAATTTACAATTGTTGAAGTCAGTGGAAACACCTCACACATCATCACATCATTTTTGTCTATTATTGCAACGCAGTTTCTACCGCAGACCGTTTCGGCTGGTTGGCTCAACCCACAGTTAGGGTTGTTGTTTCAAGACATGAAATCCACGAGGATGGAAGTCAATGTACTTCGACTGACCTTATTTGCACATTGGTCCTTTGTGGTTTCGCAGGCCTTCTCCGATCAGACGTGTGCCGATGCAACTCACGATGCCTTTAGTTCCTTGCAGTTCACGTCCAAACAGGACACACGCAAGGACGGCAACAAGTTGATCATGGGAGACATTTTCCACTTCATAGACAATCCTTTCAAACCCGAGAAGAGTCAGTGCAAGCAAGCATCAGCCGACGAGTGTAAAGTCACTGACAGCTGCTGTATGGGTGCGGAGTACATTCCGAACGGTGGCCTGTTGGTGGATTCCACGGGACATGTTCTTGCAGTTGGGAAATTGGACGATGTCGTGCAAGTTGCTAGAGGTCTACCTGGTGTGGACACTTTGCCTGGTTTTTCTTTTCAGTCGACTCTGTCATGTTGGAAGCCTTCCCCCCAAACAAGGTGGGTCACAAAATCATGGTTGGTGCAAATCCTCGAGCCGACCATTTTGTTGCGTAGCTTGTTCAGAATACTCACCACCCGAACCGTCTTTGCTTTCTCCGCCCACACTGACTGATTGCACTCAGGAAATGATCAACAAACTTGGGAAGCTCATCATGCCCGGCTTCTTCGACTTACATGTTCACCTCCCTCAGTTATCGATGACCGCCTCCGCCGGCTATTCCCTGCTCCCCTGGCTCGGGCAGTTCGTGTACGAGACCGAAGCGCAGTTCGCCAACGAGACCGTGGCCCGGTACCGGGGAGAGGAGTTCCTGGATGCGTTGATCGCGGCGGGAACCACCACGGCTGCCATCTACATGACCATCCACAAGAAACCCGGTGTTGACTTAGAGGGATGCCTCATTTTTTTTCCTCAGGAAAGGCATTTTTGGAGGTTTGTACAAGGACTGTTACGAAATTATTGTTTTCAGATTCCTAGTAAAACAATCTTCGCAGGAAAGCGGTTGAGTTGGTCCATGCCCTTGCCACTGAAAAGAAGATGAGAATCCTCATTGGAAAGGTTGGCATGGATCGATGTCGATACAGCTCCTTTTATCCTGGCAAGACAGATCCTCCTCTTTGTGACACGGCCGAAGACTTCTACCTCGAATCGGCCCAGCTGATCGAGATGTTCCGCGAAAAGCAGCAGGATCCAAAAGTGAAATCCAGAGCCTTGAGACAAGTGACAAGTGACCATGTTCCTTCTATAGCACTTTTGTTTGCTCGTGGATTTCGACAAAATCCAGAGAGTTGCAGGGCTTTCATCGATTCACCAGTAGTAGTACTGTATATTTTGAGTCTCACAGTATGTATTTGTCTTGCACGAAGAATGTCCTGCGGAACCTCCAACTCCCAAAGCTGCATGTTCTGGAACTATGATTCTTCATCGGTCTGTAGATAGACACACGTATTGAATTTTGAGATACTTTTAGGGGGTCCCAGTGTGAGAATCTCTGGACACCTGTATTGCTGAAAAGCAAGAAGGAAGACCCGCAGCATTTCTTTGGCTTTTGTTCACGCTGAGGAGTCATGTACGTGGTTGCCCCACGCTATGCTCCCAGCAGCACTCCAGAACAGCTGGCAGCCGCCGGAAAGTTGCTGAAGCGCTATCCGGAGGTTTACTTTCAAACCCATCTGAGCGAAGCTTTTTCACCCGGTTTTCGGGATTTCTTTTGTTTTCGGGGCAGTTTCGTTTTCCGTTTTAGGATGAGCACCGATGAGGCGTTTTTTGACGTCTCCACCGTATTTTTTGGAAGAGGAGTCTCTACGATTCGTCTTGTTTGTTGTTCCATGCGCCCGGTGGTTGTTACATTTGAGATGTGTTTTATCACTATGTTGGTGCAGAACGATGAACTAAAGCTGAGGAAAACTATGATGAAATTGCTTTGGTGAGGACGATGTACGGGCACTTGACTCCGGCCGGGAAGACGGATCGCATGAACGGGTCGTACCTGGAAGTCTATGATCACTTCGGGCTGGTGACGAACCGGTCGATCTTTGGGCATGTGATCCACTTGTCCCAGGAGGAGCGCCCGAACGCAACCACACAGCCACGCCAGCGGCACTCACCCACGGGTCGAAGGTGGACTTCTTTTTTGCTCTGATACAAGATTGATCCATTCCAGAGGTAGGGTATGCTACAAAAACCTATTCCAGATGCATTCCCCAGGCCACATACAAATCACTCACACCGCCGTCCCCGTTGCACTTCACAGCACAGCTGGGACATCCTGTGGCCACTTCTTCACACGCCAGGACTGGGACTTGATGGGTCGCAAGGGCGGCATCGCAGCGCACTGTCCCACTTCGCCCCTCGCCGCAAGCGACTCCGGCGCGCGAGAGGCACGAGGCGCGAGGCGAAGCGACGATGCGGGTGACGCGACCGGGACTGGACTGCGACGCAGGCGAAGAACGCTCGGATGCATCCGAGGATATAGAGGCCTCCCTACACTCTGGTGCTTCCTATGTCTTCCAATATATGCAGTGGTTTTGTTTGAGATACAGGGAACCCCTGGCAGGGCCCCTGCAAGCCTTGTTCATCAAGGTAGAAAGAAAGGTCCTAGTCTGTTTGCACAAATGATCTCGTTTCCAGGCAGGGTTCTTCTATCAATCCTTTGTGTGTTGGCCCTGTCGTCCTTGGATGAGTGTGCAACAATATTACCACCTGGCCATTGGATCGACATTTGCTTTGCTGTATCTACTAAACAACTCGCAAACCATGAATTCCCTTCACCTTTGAGGAACCTCTTCCTGGGCAGTGGCCTCTTCAACTTCCGTGCAGCCAATGCATCTGGAGCTCCCTTTGCGATTGGCAGTGATGTGGGAGCTGGGACTTCCCTCAGTAGCTTCCGAACCATGAATGAAGCCTACAAGGCGCACCGTTTCAGACGTTCCGGGACCGAAGTGGTCTCATCGTTTGGACTGCTACCGGATTTGACCCGTGAGCTGGTACCCCTCCGGTGAGCGAACAGGGAGGGAACAGGTTGTAACGAGGAAACTCTTGATGACATTTCAACCATTTTCAAGCCGAAGAGGTCTTTTATGGTCTTTACAATCCATGGGAATGGGGGAGATCCATGGGAATGGGGAGAGTTTGATGAATGGGGGGAGCCTACCGAATGCGAATGTCGCGACTAGAGGTCGCGACGACCCGGTGGGTGCTTTTTCGAGGTCTCGATCTTGGGATCCACGTGGCTGTCATCGCTGCAACCTCATGGTCAGTTCCTGTTTGACAGGGTCCAAATGGACGCTGGACCCTTTGATGTTCTCTGTCCTCCAGCACATGACAAGACCGGAAGTGGAGGACATCAGAGATTCGAAGTTTGGTTACCTTTTTCTTCTATTTGCTGGCTTGCAGACCCGGTTATCCAAGCAGCGTTGGATGCGAGTTGTCGTTTTTTGCGGAGCGGAGTCAGGACACTGGCCGATCGACGAGAAGCCGCGTGGGCCATATGTGGAAGGCAAGGATAGCTCGTACTACAAGTCGCATAAGAATGGCTGCTGTGCCTGCGACGAAGTGGATTATTCCAGAGTTGGGAAATGGACCATGCCGGCTCCTGAAGGTGCCAATGGACGTGTTTTGACCAGTGAGTTTTTCCACTGAAAATGACCGGTGTTGGTTTCATTTTCACGCGGCTTCATTGTTCTAATGAGCTCATTCTGATGCCTTGATCCGAGAATATTCGAGTTCATACCTTTCAGGGAATTGGTGCCTTTTTTGCTTTGCAGCCCAGCTTTGGAAAGGCGCCGTTCAACCCAACAACATCACTCTCACACCTGCCATGAACTATTACATGGCGACGCTGGGTGGTGCCCGCGCCCTCGGTCTGCAGGACAAGGTGGGTTCCTTCTTCAAGGGCAGCGAAGCTGACATCGTGGTGATCGATCCTAAAGGGACGAGCTATTTGGATTTCAGGCTCAACCACTTGTTATCCGCTGACATGTGGTCGCAGTTCTGGGAGTCCGCCGGAGCCATCATGATCTTGGGTAGTCCTGATGTGGTGGAGGAGACCTACATCATGGGTGTACCACGCAAAAAGGCTTGGTGAAGAGATTGGCCAGATGAATCGCTTTGTCTAGTGTGTTCGTGATTTGGTGGTCATCACCTGATCCCTTGCAATGTTTTGGTGACGTCTGGGAACCAGGTAGCTTCTGCAGGCCCCGGTGAAGGGGTCACTTTCAAATCCGGACAGTCTTGTACCATAGCTTGGCAGGGAAGCAGAGTGAACTTCAAAAGCATGTTCTCTCTTTCTTTCCAGCCACTTTTTCAGGGCTCCTGTCGTCCCAACTCTTGAACTGGCCATATAAAGAACAAGGATATTTGTATGCGGAATGTTTGGATCAACTGGCGAGTTAACCAAGTGTAGACTACAGCACATGAACTAGACTGGTATTGTCAACACAGCAGACTGCTCCTGAAGTCAACGGCAGGAGATGGCTGTTCGGCAGTTTCTGGCCACTAAGCCACATGGGCTTTTCACCCTCATGTTTGACTTACAGTTCGCCGCCATTTTTGGACATCATTGGCGGTCCATGGGGT